ATGAACTCCAAGTAGGATAAACAAAAGGAGATCCACAAACAGACACATCACAGAAAATATGCTAAAAAGGAGAAAATCGTGAAAGCAAGAGAAAAATGACTTACTACTTCCAATAGAAATCCAATGAGATTAACAGCTGAATTCTCAACAGAAAAACTGAGGCCAGAAGGCAGTGAGACAACATATTGAAAGTACTCAAGGAAAAAAAATAAAAATAAAAATAAAAACTGGCAACCAAGAATGCTATATCCAGAAAAGCCATCTTTCAAAAATGAAGGCGAAATAAATTTTCTTACGTAAACAAAAACTGAGAGAAATTGTCTGACCTGCCTTACAAGAAATACTAAAGGAAGTTCTTCAGGCTGAAAGCAAGTGACTCCAGAAGGTAATTCAAATTCACACCAAAAAATAAAGAGCACCAGTAGAGGTAGTTAATTATGTAACTTTAAAAGACAGTATAAATACATTTTTCTCCTTTCTTCTATTAAATGATTTAAAAAGCTATTGTAAAGACTATACTTTCAGGGATCATTTCCATAGTTCATTATTAGAGAAGTTTCTCTGAATGTGTAGAGCAACAACAACAACAACAAAAAAAGCTATTGTATAAGATAAAATGTAAATAATGTATTCTTAGGCCTATACCATACAAAAATGTAACATATATGTAATATCTTTGCCATTAACAACACAAAGGAGGTATGTGGCAGCAAAACTACACTAGGCTAAGAATATGACTATAGACGGTAAAGTAATATTAATAATTATAATGATGTATTGGGCTTGTTATATCTAGAAATGTAATATATATCATGATAATACCACAAAAAGGGGGGAGGATAGAGCTATGTAAGAATAACATTTCTATATATCACCAGAATTAAGCTCGTATAAATCTGAAGCTGATTCTAATAAGACAGGATTAGTTCCCTTACAAGAAGGGACACCAGAAGAGCTTGATCTCTCTCTGCCATGTGAGGACACAGTGAGAAGGCTACTGTTTGGCAGCCAGAAAGGGAGCCCTCACCAGAAATGGACTCTTCTCGCCTTCATCTGGGACGTTTAGCCTCCAGATCTGAGAAAATAAATTTCTGTTATTCAAGCCCCCCAGGCTGTGGTATTTTGTTGTGTTAGCCTGAGCGGACTAATATACTGGTGCTCAGCTCTAGCAGTCATAATGATGACTTTTCATATTTCTCATTTGGATGGCAGATTATTTGTTCATGAGCAGTATAAGCATGGTTAAAAGAAGGTAAGTTTTTGCTTTGCAGTGCTTTTGAATGGTGCTTTAATATATAATCTTTTTGATAGCGAATTGTTTGCAAACTTCTGTGATAATGTTAGTGCATTCACTTTAGTGTCAGCTGTAAAAAACCCTAACTTCCTGACTTCTACGTAAGTCAAATAACATTATCTTATAATAAACTCAGCGGAGGACTGGCATTGAAAAGACTTTCCACTGAGTGGCCCATAAATAGTTTTTAAGCCATTGATAAAGTCTAAGTAAAGAGGGCTAATTAAAATTTATTCTAAAGCCAGATTTTGTTAGCCTGTTTCGAGTGTTTTGACTTGTCTTGCTTCACTGCTCAAAGATTCCTGCTTTCTGATGATAGCCCACTCACTCACTTCCATGGATTAAATAGAAATTAAATTTAAGAATTAATAGACTCTGGTCTGTTGTGAAGTAAGCACAGTGAGGAGAACTAAGAGTGATACATGAAAAGGATGGGTACTGTTCAAGACATTTTCTTTTTCTTTCTTTTCTTTTTTTGAGACAATCTCACTTTGTTGCCCAGGCTACAGTGCAGCGGTGTGATCATAGCTCACTGCAGCCTTAAACTCCTAGGCTCAAGCAATCCTCCTGCCTCAGCCTCCCAAGTAGCTGGGACTATGGGTGAACACCACCATACCCAGCTAATTTTAATATTTTTTGTGGAGATGGGATCTTGCTATGATGCTCAGTCTAGTCTTAAACTCCTGGCCTCAACTGATCCTCTTGCGTCAGCCTCCCAAAGTACTAAGACTACAGGTGTGAGCCACCCACCTGGCTGAGATGTTTTATTTTAAAGATAGAAAGGGAAAGCAAGGAATGTACCACTGACAACTGGGTATTTTAAACTATTTTAAGAGGTCAGCTTAAAAACTCTTTGAATTGATTCCATATAAGCTCTCATTTATATAGTCACCAATCTATTCAACACATACCTATTAAGTGCCTATGGTGTAAAATACTTTGCACCACTGGAGATATAAATATGAAGACTATGTGGATACAGACCCTAAGCACTTCATAATTAACTGGTGACATGATGTTTCTAATTAATTTTACACTAGTGTCACAAGATGAACTAAAAGCTAAGGTATATGTGTATGTAAAATAGCTGCTTAATGCTTTTGAAATGTCTTCCAAGATAGTAAAAAATGTAGTAATACCTTTCCATTTTTTTTTAACATATCAGCATTTGTGATGTTTATTCCATCTATTTAGTTACATATCTCTAGGCTGAAGCTCCCAAAACAGAAAATTTTATATTCAGAGTGAAAGCACTTAGCTGAAGACCTTTCCATTCTTACCATTCTGCTCCTCCACTCTTTTGGTGATGCCAACCTGAACCACTGCATTTCTCCCAACATTCCAGTCTATCTAGAATCAAAGAATATTAATAGCTTTAAAAGACCTGTTTCTTAACTCACTTTCAGGATGAAAAAAACAGATTCAGATTAGTTTTCGCAGGGCATGGATGAGGACAGAGCCTGTTTAGTGGCAGAACTGAAGCAGAAACCATTCTCCTGAAAACAAACTATTATGTCTTCTTCCTCAGCCAGCTGTGAGGCTCAGCTGAATCATTATTGTTTCCATGATATCTTCCCTGACTCTCCCCAAGTAAGTGAACTCCCTTGCCAGAGTATTTTATTCATGATGAGTGCCATCTAACAGAAACATTTCTTAATCTTTACCAGGACTTTCTTCCTAATTATTCCATCTGGAGAATCTCAAGCCCAAAACACAGAGGAAAGCTATGCCCTGGTCTCTGAGCTTTCTCTGCATACAGAGATGAAAAGTAAAAAAATTATGGTCACTGCATTTCACTTTTTCATAAAATGTCAGCAATTTTTGATAGTATACACACCCTTGGTGTAGTCATTTTTTCCCAATGTTGCAACTACTACTGATAAGGTATGCTTTTGTTGCAAAAATCCAAAGAATACTTTCCTGTTTTTACCTTTTTAGTATTCCCTGTAACTTCTTTCACATATCCAGTTACTCGTAAAATACTTAATGAGAATATATTATATCCCAGGGTAATACACTAGATGTTGGGAATGCAATGGTGACCAAAACACACGAGTCCTATCATCAGATGACAGGATCCAGCAGAAGAGAGACCACCAATCAAGCAACGACAACCAAGTGTGGTAAATGCTACATTGGAGGAATCAAGGGCACATATGGTGCAGAGGATTAAAGCCTAGCCTGACTCAGTAGAAGTGATGGTAAGTGAAATCTGAAGAATAAAGAGGTGAGGGAAGAATAATTCAATGGAGGGAACATGAAAGATTGGAGGTAAGAAAAAAGTATTTAAGGAATTTAAAGATGGACCTCAAGTATGGGCCACAATGAGGGAAGAAGGGCAGGGGAAATATAATTTTGGTTGCAGTAAATTTTAGAAAAACATTTTCACTATGTCTTTTATATTTTATTCTATGTCTTAAGTGATTTTTGTTGTTGCCTTATTCTAAATACTTTAAGGAGTTAAAGGAAAATATTTACTTTGGGTGAAAATATTAAACTCGTCAAGCGTCACAGATTTTGTGTAAAACAAATTATTTTTGTAAAGCAATTTCTGGACTCCTGTTTAACATCACAAAATGGATACAGTTTAACAATAGACCAACTAGTAATTGTATCCTCCTTTAATTTGAAACCAGTCAGCTATAAATTATTCATCCTAGCTGAAGAACAGATATATACATAACCTAAAACGATAAATAACCCAGATCATTTTGACTTCACTTTGGAACGTGCTTTTAAATTTTCATTTAATCGTGGGTATCTCTGGAATCTAGGAATTCACTTTTAAAGCTAAGCCGCAGAAAAGGGGCAATCCATAGTACTAAATCTTGCACCCCACTGGGAACTGAAAGCATGTTTTATGCCAATATCAAGACTTAGTAGAGAGTACATTATACCTTTTTCTTTACACTTTTCCATACTTTTTGATTTTTCTAATGAACATGAATAGCTTATTTTTCTCATAATAAAATATTTGTATTTGGAAAACAAAAGAGTAGAAGTATCCTTTTTCGCATCTTCCTGCAGAAGAGAGCTTCTCTGAGATACAAAATATATTTAAAAAAAAATAGAACCAGACAGTAACAAAATATTAACAAAGCAGTTTAGTATAAGTGCTATCATTTAGGTTGCAATATAGATAACTTGCATGATGACTATTTTCTAAACTATTTTGTGGAAAATACTAAAATGAAAAGCAATTTCAGCAACTGATGGAGAAAACAGTGATGTTACAGAATTTAAAAAATTTTTTTCAGACCTTCCTGTGGTGAAAAATATTTTTTGATAGATCATTGAATATTTACTTTCTAACAGTATAAAGGAATGAAAAGTCAGTGCTTTTACAATCAAAACTAACTAGAAGATAGCAAATATGTTGATATTATCTTCACTTGAAGTAATATTTTCTAATATTATATGAAAGGTGGAATATTATTCAGAAAATTAAAGGACCAGTCAGGAAAAACTTTTTTCAACCTATTCAATAGTTATAATAGATAACACAAATACTGACTTAAAATAATCATCTGACATAATAATGGGTGAGCCTTATACCAGTTATATCTTATAACTTTGTTTAGTTATAAGATGAAGTTGGTATGTGAGGAATCTATAACATGATGATGCTTTTGGCTGTATAATACCTCAGTTTTCAATTCTGGAAAAAAACAAAACCAACCAAAAAAACCCCAAACTTGTGATTTTGTTGTTTAAAAAATTGTTTTCATTTTAATGATCTGAGTTAGTAACAAACAAATATACAAAATTGTCTTTCACATTTCCATACATTGTATTATGGACCAATTGAAAACTCTGGACTACAAATGCAGGTTTCTTTATATCCTTAACTTCAAATATTGTCACTTATAAATAAAGGTGATTTGCGAAAACATGCATTTGTGAACACAGATGCCAAAAATTGTACATGTAAGTTAATGCACAACCAATAGTGCACATTGTTCATTTGTGCAGTTATGTGCCAAGTCCACTGACACAGAAGTAGTTATCCTGGATATTTCGTTCTTTTTGAAAAGTATTTTTGAGAAACAGATGGAAATACAGTTTAAAACAAAAATTGTATTCTACAAATACAACGAAATTTGCAACTTGCACATTTGAAGCAACTTTTGGGAAAGCTGCTTCAATAACCCTGCTGCTATACTGGTTTTATAGGAATATCTCCAAAGTCACGGGTTGGAATATAGCTGCATTAAAGAAAATAAATATGTATATTAGAAGGAAAATTATGCCTAAAAATGAGGAAAGCTTTGAAAACAGTCCTAATGCATGAGTCCATCTATATATTTTCAAGTTTTAGAAATGTATTTAGAATTTTAAAAGTAATCTGAAAATTTCATAAGCCATTTTAAAATAAGATTTTTTTCAATCTTACTAATGTTTCCTGTTTGATAGCGTAATAGAAAAATGAACAGTCTCTAGTGTTGACTTACTGTGATAATTCATAAATCATTATAATTTATGACTTAATTAGAGGATCAAATAAGTGGAAATTGGATTATAATGAAAGTGGCAAGGAGGCCCCTTCTCCAACCACTCGTCTGAACTAGTAATACAAACCAACACGAAAGGATTTCTTACATTAAATTGCTTCTAGATCTCTATAGGTAAGAAAATCCAATTTTTCTTAAACATATTCTCCTGGGTTGTGGCAATATGTGCTTTACCTCTTTAACTCTATCTACAACCTAAAGTTATTTCTATATTATAAATTTCAAACTCCCTGGAAAGGCATGTAACTGCTAATCACTAAGTATTTACAGTCATGCGCCGCATAACAACTTTTCAGTCAGTGACAGACCTGTATATATGGTCCCATAAGATTATAATACTGTATTTTTACTGTGCCTTTTCTATGTTTAGATACACAAATACTTGCCATTGTGCTACAATTGCCTACAGTATTCAGTAAAGTAACACGCTGTACAGGGTTGTAGCCTAGGAGCAATAGGCTAGCCTAGGGATATAGCAGGTTATACCATCTAGGATTGCTAACTACCCTCTGTGACGTTTGCACAACGATGAAATTGCCTCGGGATGAATTTCTCAGAATGTATCCCTGTTGTTAAGCGAAACATGACTGTATTTAACTTCATACAAAGAGAGGACTCACATATGATTCTCATAATATTCCCACTTTTCTCTAAGGCCTGGGTTTGATGTTTTCGCCTATGTTATATGGATCAAATGAGAGAAGATGATGTATCTAAATAATAGGGTCTCTCTGAGGCAGTATGATAGATTTGGCCTCCCATATTATGAAAACACTTGTTTTACTAACTAAAATGAATACAACTGCAAACAGCTTGAGGGCAACTGCAGTTCAAAAGGAAATGGGTTATTTTCTATGGGAAACATTAGATTCACTTTAAGGAAACATCTTTGTTTTCCACGGGGCTTATCATGAAGAAAGTGTGGCTAGTGAATTCAAACATTTACTTCAAGAGCTACCTAAACGTAAGGCAGCTTTTAAAAATATTTAAACCATCAATGATTCGGGAAAGTAAGCTGGGGGAATAATATAAAGATATATACTTACAGCACTACATTAGGAGATGTAGTTCCCTACTCTGCATTTTGGAAATGAAAGATACCAATTCTGTCCAGAGTCAATACTATCAGAAAGAAATATGGCTGCTTCCTACTCTTCTCCACTCTTAAAAAGTTCATTTTATGATGCTCCTACTGCCGATAATCTCTGCATCTCCCATATGAGTTAGGCAAAATGAATCTAATAGGTTACTTTTGTTTTTAAAATAAGCTGCCCAAACAGGTTTTAAAAAACTTTCAGAAATGGAACATTTAACCTTGAGAGAAACTTCCATTATTGAGTACCTAGTCCAATGGCAGGTACAGTATTAAGGATTATTGCTTTAAATAAGATAACCATCAGAAATAAATACGTAAGCTTAACTCAAATACTCATTTTTTACCCAATGCTACAATGTTTTATTCTCAAATCCTGTGTTACCTTTAATTCTTTGCCAGTTTATTGAGGTTTTAAGTGTAAGAAGTTGGCCTGTTAACTGAAAATCAAGACAATAGCAATATCTATATAAGTGTGTCTTATTTGGGAATTGAGCAGCAACACTGCTTTCTTGATAGGACATAAGGCACTAAATGGTGGTAAAATAAACAAAAGTATGACGATTAATCACTTCTTCACAATCCTAAAAAAGGAGATAGTTTAGAATGATACTAGTAAATCTTTTTCTCAAACAAATAAGGCATCCTGTTGGCAAACGCAAATAAACCACAAGGTCATGTTGAACCTAATACATTCACTGTCTCAGCTAAACTACTTGAAACGCGAGCTATCAAACTTAAGAAAGCTACAATAGTGTGTATAAAGGTTGGAAAGGCACCAAAAGGAGAGCTCTACCACTTCCAGTTCTAAGAGTTAAGTAAGCTGTGTTTAACACTGCATATGGTCTAATTATCAATTTTATTCTTCAAAAATGTATAATGTAGTTAGATTTTTACCTTGACAATTCAGTTGATCAAGTGCTAATTTAGTAAGAAACCTATTTTATGAATTAGAAAAGTACTGCAGTGTTTAACACAGCCCGATATATAAAGCTAAACTAATTCTAGTACTGAATGCATATTCTGGATAACACTGAAGCAAATCTGTATGAACAAAAATGGTTACCTCAAGAGAGAATTCACAATAGAAATTTGACATACAACTAAATAAGATTTACTGAAAATAATGAAAAATGAAGTACAGATACATCAAACATAATTATAACCACATTTCCCTTGTGAAAAATACAACTATTAGTGAAATAAAATGTACAATTGAAAATTTTCCAAAGGAAAAAACACAGTATAAACCAAAATACTTTTCTTTGAGATAGGGAAAATAGTATGTCATTGTTTTTTCATCGCAATATAATTTGACACAAAAAGCAGTCATAGAATTGCACCAATTCCACATCCAGTTTCCTGAACATGTTAAGAGTAAAAGGAGTCCGTAAAGCAGAATGCAGCTTCAGAATTTTATATTTTAAATTGATGATATTCTCATACGGGATGTCACATCACACCAGATCTGTTCACATAATGTATCATACGATACTTTCGGTTTTGTGGCCAGACAGGAATACAAACATATGCTTTCTGCCACCTCTCTTTCATTCTGGTGTTTAGCCAGAGTCAGAAAAAAATAATCGAGTTACTTGTTATTTCTCTAGCAGTAAAGAAAAATTATATTTAGTGCATGCTTCATCGTTTGTCAAAAAACATTTTCTGAAAATAAAACTCAGTTACTCAATGGTTTACAAAATAGAAAAATCATTCATTAGGATAAAAATGTGGTGGGATTTGGGTCCATTTCCAAAGGACTGGCTTCCTTGGCAGCACCACTGTCCGTTAGCAGAGGCCATGATGAAAATGCCATGATGGAAGCAGGCAGGCCTGCAGACCACTGCTTGACATCTGATTATCTTTGACCATCCCTCATCCGCCATTTCATTAGTGCTATAAAAAAGACGGGATTTTTGTGGAAATGTTAGGAACATCTCTGCTGTACATGATTTAGAAGTTCTCCAAATTTTTCAAATAGGTCCTCCACCCATTTTACATTTTTCATACAAAGTTGAACAATTTCCTCCTGTCCTAAATCTTCATTTTTTTTCTGTACTGAAGAAATCTAAAATAAAGAAAATTGCAACATTAGCTTATACTTATCACTTTATACTGAAATTCTTCACAAGAGCTTACTCTTTCTATAACTTGAATGAAAAGAGGATTTATTAATTCACCTACAAGTACTGATCTTTTATTTTTTTCTTAATCTCATCCATGGAGAATGGTTACTTCAGATAAATTTGCGTGAGATCTGCTCCTCTCATCATTGGCTCCACAGGGACAAAAAGGAAGGCTAGAAAAAGTACTTCAGATTTTCTCAATTTCTTCCAATTGTGTGAAAAGCTGAATGACAAATTTGGGGGTCAATTCTGCATTTCGGAGCATTATAAAAAATAGTCAAAAAAATTTTTTTCCTGTTTTTTCTTTGTAGTGATGCAGTCTCGCTATTTTGCCCAGTCTGGTCTCCAACTTCTGGGCTCAAGCTCAAGCAATCCTCCACCTCAGCCTCCCAAGGACTGTGCCTGGCTAGTGAACATGTTTTGCATCACCATCTTTGATTCTCCTTTGCTACATAAAGGTTAGATTTATGAACATCCTTCCATACCAGACTATTGTCAAACACATTTGGTATAGCCTTGGGCCAACTTAATCTCTTTTTTTGGAGACAGTCTGGTTCTGTCTCCCAGGCTGAGTGCCGTGGCTCCAGCCTAGCTCACAGCAACCTCAAAACCCTGGGCTCAAATAATCCTCCTGCCTCCGCCTCCTGAGTAGCTGGGACTACAAGAGCATGCCACAACACATGGCTAATTTTTTCTACTTCTTTAGTAAAGACGGAGTCTCTACTCTAGCTCAGGCTGGTCTTGAATTCCTGAGCTCAAGTGATCCTCCCACCTCAGCCTCCCAGAGTGCTAGGATTATAGGTATGAGCCAACTTGCCTGGCCAACTTAATCCTTTTTAATTAAAGTGATAGTGCTAGTCAAATAAAGTCGTACTGCCTACAACCATTTAACCTGAGAAAATTAATCCTTATATTCGATCCACAAGGTGGTATTGTTATCATACATAAAATTTTAACTTTCATTTTTCTATGTCAAGGCACAAAACCCCATTTCTCTGCAATTAAGTGGGATGAGGCCATTCTAGTTAGAAGCAAGAAAGCGAGATATGAAAACAGCAACTGGGTTGAATTAAAGCAGGATAATTATACATTATGAGAGAACAAAATATAATAAAACATCATTTATTATGGCAATGTAAACCAAGCACTAAGAGCTCAAAAACGTTACCAATTATAGCTCCTATAAGAGGTTGTGAGTCTCAGATTAATTTCAGCACAAAACATAGCACAGAGACTCAGAACAGTAAATCATCTAGACTATTTACAAAATATTGTATGGGCAAAATATATACACACATATTTTACAATTATATTTAAAAACATTCAAAAATACTATAGCTGGAGTCTCTTTTAAGTTCAGAAAAACATACATTTCTCTTTTAAATAAATGACAAGAAATTACCTCATCCTTACATATCAGATAAACATGATATTTATAATGATGCAGTGAATGATACAAAGCATACAACTGTATTTTCTCTGGATCAACAGAAAACTCCTACAAAAAGAAAAAAATTTATAGATATATTTCATGGTACATCTGAGCCAAGAACACTTTATACTAGATCAAAGGTCTCAATGGCAATCTTGGAAATGACTTACATGGGTAGGTATTAGGTTGTATTAATATTTTTATTCAAAATAAGAATTCAAATTGTATTTTAAAATCTTAGTTCTTTTTCCTGAATATAAATATGCGTTACTTGAAAAAAAATTTAAACATTATAGAAAAATTCAAACAACATATAGGACGATTTATAAAGTAAAAACTCCCTATAATCTCCTGCTTCAGAGAAAAACAAGGCTAACAGCATGTTATATATTCTTTCATGTTTTTCCCCTAGGTATCACATATTAATAACATTAATTTTATAATGGCAAGGGAATCACACTATACATCTTGTCCTGCAACTTTTCTTCTTTTTCAAACTTGCTTTTTACCTAACTAAAAACTATCTTTCCATTTATTGCATATATCTGTCCCTCCTCACCCTGGAATGTAAATTATATGAGGGTAAGGACTTTTAACTGGTATTGGCTATTGTACCCCTAGTACTTAAAACTGTACTAGGCACACTTCAGGCACTCAAATAATTTTTCTGGAAAGAATGAACAAATCTTTTTAAAAAGTACATAGTATTACATTGTCTGAGTGGCTCTTTATATATCCAGCCTCATCCTGGTGTTACATAACTTGATGGCTCTTACAAACAATTCTGCAGTGACCAAAAGTATTTTTTATATACTTGTGAATGTGCTTCTACAGGATACATTTTTGATGTGGAGTTTCTATGAAGCCAAACTGTTTTTCATAATTTACACTATGTTTGAAGATGAGCAAACTCCAATTTTAATGACTTTGCAGATATGAAATAAATATTGAATCTTCTTATGGATTCAATACATATATGTGTGCATGTGTATCCAATTACAACTATATATATACACACACACACACAGGTAATGCATATGTTAATTAGCTTGAATTAGCCATTCCACACTGTATACACATTTCAGAACAACATTTTGCATATGATAAATAAAATTTTTTCGATTAAAAAAACTATACACAAATACACAAACACAAACATGGGATGATTTCTTCCTATTAGTCTATTTTGATTTCTTCCTATTAGTCTACTTAAGAAATTTGTGACCACTTATCATATGCCAGATACTGTGCTAGGCACCGAAGAAAAACAATAAACAACACCAAGTCTCTGTTCCTCAAGCCAGAACTGTTTCTTCCTGCCTGAAAACACTTCACGCTTAATGACAACACAGTAAAATATTTGCTTGTTTCAATGTTTTAAGTAGGAACTGCATTAACAAAAGGTATCATTACATTAATCAATATATACTTACTTGTGCAGATTTAGTGGTTGTTTTAGAAGTCCTTAGGGTTTTCTTATTGTAAGCTTTGCCATTCATTTTGATTTTAGAAATAGCAGGTCCTCCGCTTTTTGCTTTAGAGTCTCGAGTAATTATTGTTAGTTCAGGAAAACTTTCCAAAGCATTCTTTAAAACAATGAAGCAAAATAATTGACACTAGAAGAAAACTAACTTAAACTACTTCCAGCTATTCAAAATTTAGAAACACGTACATGCAGAGTGTGTGTGTAATAATGGGATATGTAAATATATACATATACACATACACGTGTGTGTAGGGTGTTAAACAGGTACAAATTCTTTGTACCTACTCCTATCGAATGTGGAATCTATTTCCCCATCCCTTGAATTTGGGCTAACCTTATAACCTGCTTATTTAAGCAACAGCACACCACACTGTAGAGATCCTGAAGAAGGCAGAGAGTTCTTTCTATAAATAGTAATGCCTCTCTGGCTTCAAAGCAGGGGAAACAGGGAATATATGTTTCCTCAAAGATCAATCACTTAAACCACTGCTAATCCCCTGAAATATGGTTGAGCCCTGCTGTGAAGAAGTCATCTGACCCTGGATGAAGATGAGGACAGAGGAGAACAAGAAGCACTGCAATGCTTCTCTGGCTGCACCACTTCTCTTGCTTCTTTTGACTGCAGAAGTACTTGTGAGATAAGGTCTGAAAACAGAGCTTGTTGTGTTTTCTCAACACAATAACATAGTAGCTAGCACTGATAATATAGTGGCCATGTGGCAAAACCAATTCCACTCCATTCTTTTCTTTTCTTTTTTTGAGACAGAGTCTCCCTCTGTTGCCTGGGCTAGAGTACAGCGGCATTATCATAGCTCACTGCAAGTTCAAACTCCTAGGCTCAAGTGATCCTCCTGCCTCAGCCTCCTCAGTAGCTGGGACTACAGGTGCATGTCACCATGCCCGGCTAATTTTTCTATTCCACTATATTCTTCAAAAACCATTGGCATACTTATGCCCTCACCTACCTGGCAAATCATCCGGACATGAAAAGTTACAAAAATTAACAGAATGATACATACAGCCAAATATAACTACTTTGGTTGTAGCTTTATAAAATTAAATTCAGCTGCTAACATCATTTATTTTGACAGTAAAAGAGTTGATACGCTCCCACATTTATGATTCAGAATACAGTACTCATGATAAGCTCAACTGTTTTATAAATAGTTACAACCTTTAAAGCCACTCTTTGTCAAACTCTTACACTGTTTCAGAGCACCTGTATTGAGACCCTGAAAACAGTACATTTAAAAAAAATAGATAACCTAATTTTTTCTTAGTATGAGTATAGGAGGGAACTCAATTTCATTTGCTAGAAATAGTAAAACTTTTGGCATTTCCTACCAGAGTGAGGTGTCATCAATTTCTAGCTTCATTACATTCTCAGATTATTTGTGCTTTTTACATGCCTAGGCTTGAAAAATTTTGGATGCAGAATTACTATTTACAACAAATGGAATATAAAAGACTAAAAACAGATTCTAAATTTGGAAACAATGAACACCCTAGGTCAGTGGAGACAAAAAGAAAATTTAAACCTTTCCAATAAGCACAAGGTGCCTAAGATGATCTCAAGTACATGATTTCAGAGAAGACAGAGCATCATTAACTTCAAAAGGCTTCAGGACTCGCTCCTAAAATTACCAAGATCATCAGGGGAAATCATGCTAATTATTTCTAAAGAACAAAAAATCTTTCTTAAACTACTATTTCTAATACTTTACTTCAAATTATTCTAAAATTTAATACTATGTAATTTGGCTTTGAAAAGCAAATTGCTTTTATATGAAAATTATCGGAGTAACTTTACAAAATTAGAGATCTTTTTTTTCTGTGAAAATAATTATATGAAAATTAATTTTTCACTTGTTCATCATAAGCTATTGCAAAAGCTTTAAATATCTACTGAGCCTATTAAATTCCAACTGGTGAGTTTATTTTAATACAAGTTATTGGAGAACTGATTTGATATTTCTAAAATGATTAGCTAAAACCGATTATTTTTAAGATTTAGTAAATCTTTAGAGAACACATATCTAAAAATGTTTCTTCATCTCCAGAAAATATGGTATTTCCCAAGAGAATATTTCATTTGAAGGCAGCAGTTAGGTAAAAAATACTGGATGAAGAATCCAAAGACCCAAATCTTTAGTCCTGGACTTTTTACCAGCTTCTGAAATTTTTTTCCCTTCCAGTGCACGGCAGTGAAAAATACATGACTACTAGGACAGTTTACTGTCGTTTAACTTTGGCCTCAATTGTCACCTAATTTAAATGAAGTCAATATTTACTTTCATGTGGAATTCCCATAAAATAGAGATATGAAAAAGTTATACAAATTATAATATTATCACCATTAATTACACTTGATCTTAGCTAAAAGTTGAGAAATGATTAAAAAAAACAATTGCTCAAAGTAGATAAACTCAAATGATTCTAGGTGTGGTGATGTTATACTCTGAATAAGAAAAACTAGAAATTTTTTGACTAATAAGTTGCTACTATAATAAATTTTCTGAGTTTCGATTAACTTTTTTGGTATACTTCTGATAACACCAAAATCAATATATACCGCCAAAATATATTAACACATAAAATTTTACATACCTCCTACTGTTATATGAAAATCAATTTTTCCTCAATTATTGGGTAAACCAGGTAAGTAAAGGGAATTTTAATAACTGCACTAAGAAAAGGCTAATTTTAATCAAACATGAAATGTGAAAATTTTGAAGATTTAAAAGAAATACAAGATTTGAATATAATAGTTTTGGAAAACATTTGGAAATTATTTTACAGAATGAATAACAGATACATATAAATGCTTTAAAAATGAATTTAAGAAGAGAAAAGCAAATGATTAGCACTAAAAAGACAAGCTAAACAGACTCACAATGAAAAAAAAACCAAATGTTTGTTAGGCAAAAAATTTTGTAAAAGAATGACTTTCATAAATTTTCCTTCCTATTATACTTAAGACTATGATTGCCACTGAGTTTTGCTAATAAATCATCGAAGGAAATACCTTGAATGATTGATCCAAATGAAGATTCAAAAGAAGTCTCTTTCGGTTATCATTTAGCATGCCATCTATTTTTTTCATATGAGGTAAAAGTAGTTCATCTGAAACAATATTATAATTTAATAGGATAAACTGTCACTATAAAAACTTATAAAAATCCAACTTTTCTCAAAATATTTATACATTAAAAAACATTAAATTCAATGGCTTATGTAAAGTATTGCTTGCAAAAAAAAACTGGACATGAAGCTTTCTGAACAAAGGCTAACTTGAAAAGTATGTTTGTAATAGCAAGTGAGAAAAAGACAGCTTAGTATTATGATGGGATGTGCTCTGCACTAGGATCGAAAATCCTGGGTTTTACCTCCACTAGAACTGACGGATGAACTAGAATTGGATTTTACCTGAACTAGAATTGATGCATGGCAGCTATGTGATCAGTGGGCAAACAGCCTAATTTCTCCAGACCTCATTTACCATCTGAACAATCTGAATACTCAGAGTATTACAAAATACAAACTGATCCAATATCAAATTTTATAAAGCACTGAGTATGACCAAGGGATATTCTTAATTCTCTGTAATTTGAAGCAAAGAAAAAGTAGGGGAAGAAAAATGATCAAAACCCAGTGTCAAAAATGTAAGAGTGAAAACAGTTATTTTAGAAGAGGGGAGAGTAAAATGATAACAAAGATTCCTACTCCAAACTTTTTGCTTCCTATTTCACCTGTCCGAAATTTAAGCTCTTTTAAGAGAAGCACTTTCAGAGTATAAGTTTTGGTGCTGCAGTATATATTTTAGATTATTAGACTATTTTTTAATTTATCAGAATAATTTTTATATTTCATAATGCTAATTGACTTTAATGACCTTTCTGAAAAAAACACGTATTATCTTCAGAATCTAGGTTACAAATTTCATAGCTAAATAAAATGACTGCATACATATCTGCAATACAAATACAAGCACAGTAACCTGGGAAAGAACACTTCTAATGGAAGAAAAAGTCCTTAGTGAGGAACATTTTCTAAGGTTGCTGCAACACTCCTGATAATTTAATTTTATCTGCCTAGTAGTGATTAACTCTATTCAAATACTACATTTATATTTCACAAAAACAAGTTTTAAATATTTGTCAATTATTTTTAAATATAACCTTTTAAATTTCTTTCCTCCCCTTATACTTAACGGAGAAAAATTAGAAAATACTGATAAGCAATAGAAAAATTTTCAAAATATAACTACCTAGAAATGACAATTACACAGAGATATAATATTTTATGATGCAAGGAGTTCTGATTGAGAGAGAAAACACTTAAAAGAAAAACTGTTGACCTGGGGGATTAACTTTTTTTTAAAAAAAAGAAGGGGTCTCGCTTTGTTGCCCAGGCTGGAGTGCAGTGGCTATTCACAGGTGTGATCCCACGACTAATCAGCATGGGAGTTTTGACTTGCTCCATTTCCAACATGGGCTGGTTCATAGCTCCTTAGGCAACCTGATGGTCCCCTGCTCCTGGGATAACTGGGTTTTAATCATGGTTCTTCAACCTCTAACTTGTTCTCTAACTTTAAGAAATACATCTAATCTTAATCTCTTTTCAACTTTAGTATACAAAATACATGTTTTCGACTAGGTAATAATCTCTAATGTCCCTTCCAGCTCCACATGACTCTAAAATGATTGAGATACAGATTACTGTCTCTGATTATATGGTGAGAAAAGCACCAGACCAGAAATTAGAAGACTTTGGATTTTAATCCAGATTTCTGCTAATTACAAGTTGTAAGCCCTTATGCAAGACTCTTAGCCTCTCTGAGCCAGTCTTTATCCATGAAATGGCCAAGTTGATTTGAAGCTAAAACAGAATGGTGTATAAATACGTGGAAATAATAAAACAGTATATAGTCATGTGCTGCATAATGACATTTCGGGCAACAACTGATCCCAAGTATGAGTGTTCCCATAAGATTGTAATACCACATTAGTACTGTACCTTTTCTTTTTCTTTTTTTTTTTGAGACAGAGTCTCGCTTTGTTGCCCAGGCTAGAGTGCTGTGGCAACAGCCTAGCTCACAGCAACTTCAAACTCCTAGGCTCAAGCAATCTTCCTGTCTCAGTCTCCTGAGTAGCTGGGACTACAGGCCCATGCCACCACATCCAGCTAATTTTTTCTATTTTTAGTAGAGATGGGGTCTCACTCTTGCTCAGGCCAGTCTCGAACTCCTGAGCTCAAGTGATCCTCCCGCCTTGGCCTCCCAGAATGCTATGACTTTTCTATGCTTAAACTTGGTTAGAAAGGTGAATATTTACCATGTGTTAAAGTTGCCTGGAGTATTTAGTACAGTAACATGCTGTATAGGTTTGTAGCCTAGAAGCCAGAGGCTAGGTGTGTAGTCTATGCCATCTAGGTTTCTGTAAGTATACTCTATGATATTAGCATGACAAAAAATCACCTCATGACACATTTCTCAGAATGTATTCCCATCATTAAGTGATGAGTGACTATATTATCAGGCATTACTGTTTAAGTATATTATTACTGACTACTCTTTGTTACTATCATTTGATTTTATACCTGTACAATTCATTTTGAAGAAAAACACTAAAGGAAACTGGCTCGTTAATCCTTTCTTTCTTTTGCTTGGCTTTGTTGAGTAACGTAATAACTGCAGGGTAAATATTACTGAGCAATGTTAGATCTATGAATTGTGCCAGTTTATTTCATTTGATTTCATCCCTATTTTACAATAAGAAAAAACTAATAAAGGAAGAGTAAAAGGAATAATATTAATTGCTATAATTCCATACGTACATTATTTTAATACTAATTGATTAAAAAATAATTTTTCTGTGATTTATCCTTTCCTAAGGATACAAAATATACAATTTTAATTTTTATACCATTATCATCTGACTCGTCTTTCCAATTACTGGAAAACAGAATATATTGACATACAGATCTTCCATTTCATACAGATAGTAAGTGTAACACTATGAGGATGACATATTACACTAGAATTGAAAGAAACTGATGAGGAGCTATATAATTTTTCTATGAGTAGAAAGCAATAAAAATACTTTCAATATAAAGTTGTTCAAATATTCAGATAATGCACGAAAAGATATGACCATTTTATAGAATTAAGATATTATGTATTGACCTGACAATTTATAAATATATATTACAGCAGAGATATATAAACATATAAGAGAGAAGAATTTTTTAAAAAGCATCCAAAAAGCACTACCAAGAAAGTACTACTTAGCAGACTGTACCATTGCTCTTCTCTAAGGCTTGCATTGTGTCAGGGTCCAAGGCAATGCTAACAAGCAATTCCATGTAGCTCTTAAAGGTTTCCTTCATTGCTCTTGTGTTCAAAAAGCGAGTGACAAAGGGAGCTGGAGGATCAAATTCTGGGAGGGAGAAAAGATGAAATATTAAATTTTCCTTCCTGACAACTTTAAAAACACTTTTCCCTATAACAAGAGCCTATAAGCAGATGAAAGACTGTAGATACAATTTCTTCAAATTCAAAGTTTTCTCACCCTACCTGTAAAAATACCCCAGGTAAGAGACTCTCAAAGCTGGTTTGCACATCTCAATCACTGGAGAGCTTTTTAAAAAACAAAACAAGAAACCAGATTGCCAGAATTACTAAAACAGAATCTTTGGTAGTGGTGATGAAGCTTAAACAAGCTTTCAAAAGCTTCCTGGGTGATTCCGAAACACAATACCAGCCCAGCACATGGAAATGTAGGCTGGGCTGGGTAGAAAGCTATTAATATTTTTCTTCACCTGGGCCCTACCACAGACATCTGCTGCCAGGTAATTCTATTCTAATCTTGATTGTTTCCCTATGGTTAGGTAGCAAAGAAACCAGAATACACCTAATGTACGAATTAACATATAGATTTCTTTTTCATTTCTGCACTTAAATTACCATAAAATTCTTGTCTATGACATATTTTTAAAAACTTTAATGTAAATGTAGCCATGCACAGAAGAAATTTTGCTCAAATTCAATGGCAAGAAAAGCAAGATTAAAAGTTTGTCTCAGCCGGGTGCAGTGGCTAATGCCTGTAATCCTAGAACTCTGGGAGGCTGAGGCAGGACTGCTTGAGGTCAGGAGTTCAAGACCAGCCTGAGCAAGAGCAATACCCTGTCTCTACTAAAAATAGAAAAAATTAGCCAGGCATGGTCGTGAGTGCCTGTAATCCCAGCTACTCAGGAGGCTGAGACAGGAGAACCACTTAAACCCAGGAGTTTGAGGTTATTGTGAGCTAGGCTAGTGCCATGGCACTTTAGCCCAGGTGACTGAGTGGGACTCTGTCAATTTTGATTTTTTGCATTCAAATATGTAACCAAATCACACCCTTTAATAGTTCTTAGAGTATGGTCTATTGCCCCTAACAGGCTTCCAAGACTCTTTCAGTGGTCTCTGATATCAAAACTATTCTCATAATAATATTAAGAGATTATGTACCTTTTCCACCATGTTGACATTTGCAAAACTAATATTGGGTAAAACTGCTGGTGCTTAGCAGGAATTAAGACAGTGACACAAAGCTATACAAGTAGTTATATATGTTGGCATGACTTTGTCACGTCACTGCCATGCATTTATAGGGAAAAATAAAACATGTCTTACTTAAGAATAGTCCTTGATGTAGCAGTAAAAATTATTAATTAAATCTCTCCTCTTCAGGAAATGTCTTTTTAATATTCTGTGTGATCAAATAGGAGTTACACCTAAAGTGCTTCTGCTATAAGTATAATGGTTATTGCCAGAAGAGCATCCATACAGTTGTTTTTAGTTACAAGATAAACTATTAATAGATACTCCCCCCCCCAATAGAATACCACTTTTATTTGAAACAATGAATGACAGACACATTATGCCTATTCAGACTTGGGTATTAAAAATTAAGTGGGGGCCGGGCGAGGTGGCTCACACCTGTAATCCTAGTACTCTAGGAGGTGAGGCAGAGGCTTGCTTGAGGCCAGGAGTTCAAGACCAGCCTGAGCAAGGGCAAGGCCCCATCTCTATTAAAAATAGAAAAAATTAGTCCTGTCGGGGTGGCTCACAACTGTAATCCTAGGACTTTGGGAGGCCAAGGTGGGAGGATCAATGGAGGCCAGGAATTTGAGACCAGTCTGAGTGAAACCCCATCTCTAAAAAAATATAAAAATTATTTGGGCATGATGGCACGCCTATAGTCCCAGCTACTCGGGAGGCTGAGGCAGGATGATCATTTGAGCCCAGGAGTTTGAGGTTGCTGTGCGCTACAATGATGCCATTGCACTCCAGCCAGGGCAACAGAGCTAGACTCTGCCTTAAAAAAGAAAAAAAAAAAAAAGTGAAAAAGAAAATCTACAGAGTAAGAAGAAACATTTTCAACTCATATCTCTGTTAAGAATTTAATATTCAGAATGTATAAAGAACTCACAATTTAACAATAAAACCAAACAACCCAACTAAAAAACAGGCAATGGATTTGAATAGACATTTCTCCAAAGAAGATATACAAATGGCCAATAAGCACATGAAAAAATGCTCAACATCATTAGTCATTATGAGATACCACTTCACACTTTCTAGGATGGCTTTAATGAACAAAAACAAAAAGAAACCAAAAAATAACAAGTGTTAGCAAGGATGTGGAGAAATGAGAACCCTCATGCTTTCCTGGTGAGAAAGTAATATAGTGCAACTACCCAAAAAACTGAAACCAGGAACTCAGATACTTGATGCCAATTTTCATTACAGCAGCAATTACTCACAACTAGCCAAAGATGGAAACAACCCAGTGTCCATCAATAGATGAAAGGATAAATAAAATGTGATATTAACATACAATGGAATATTATTTAGCCATGAAAGGAATGAAGTTCTGAAACATGCCACAACATGGATGAACCTTGAAAACATTTTGCTAAGTGAAAGAAGCCAGACACAAAAGGACAAATATGATTCCACTTAGATGACATATTTAAAAACAGGCAAATTCATAGAGACAGATAATAGATAATAGATGTCACCAGCAGCCAGAGGAAGAGAAGAATGGGGAGTCATTGCTTAATAATTATATGGTTTCTGTTTGGGTTGATAAAGTTTTAGAAGTAGTGTTGAGGGTTGTATAATAACGTGAATATAATTAATGCTACTGAATTGTACACTTAAAAATGGTGAAAATGGCAAATTTTATGTTATATCTATTTAACCAAAATTTATCAAAATGTGAAAAAAAGTATAAAATTTTGGAAAATCTGTATCACTGAGCTAATATTTTCACATGACCAATGAATGATATTATAAAACCATGCATGGATGAGAGATGTTCAAAGAACAAAACCAATAGATTTTAATGTAACAGAGCATGAAAATTCAAGAAACAAATACTAGTCAAGTTTTGAGTATCAAGAATATCAGGCTGGTACTTTCCTCTTGAGCCTAAAAAAAAGAATATCAGGCCGGGCGCGGTGGCTCACACCTGTAATCCTAGTACTCTGGGGGGCCAAGGCGGGAGGATTGCTTGAGCTCAGGAGTTCGAGACAAGACTGAGTAAGAGTGAGACTCCGTCTCTATTAAGAAAAAGTAGAAAAATTAGCTGGGCATTGTGGCGCGCGCCTATGGTCCCAGTTACTCAGGAGGTTGAGGCAGGAGGATTGTTTGAGTCTAGGAGTTTGAGGTTGCTGTGAGCAAGGCTGATGCCACGGCACTCTACTCAGGGCAACAGAGAGACTGTTTCAAAAAAAAAAAAAATCCATAATTATAAGAAAAGGCAATCTAAATTCTCTTCTTTCTTAACAACATACCTATGTGGATTTCCCTAATATACTTTAACCAAAATAACATATAATAACAAACTCAATGTAGGAGCAGATATGAAAATGCTCTCATCTTAATAAACACGGTTTTGGAAAATATACTTGTTAAAAAAAAAACTTGTGTTAATAAGTAATGGATTCATTTTAAATAAATATTTTAAATTTCTGCTTTAATTGGTATTTAGTAAATATCAATAGCTTTAGCTCACATAAACATAAGTATTTGGAATGCTCAGTATATCTGAGGATTAAAAAGAGCTCCTGAAATAAGAGTTTGAAAATCGCCAGCCTACAAATCTATGTTTATTATCAATATTTCCTACTTAAAAGCACTAAAAATGTTTGCTTACTTTTAGTGACTCCTAGTGGTAACTCAAGTTATCAATGAAAGAAAAATTTATCTTAATTGTCATTTGAGGAAACTATAGTGAGTGCAAATTCAGAACTCAAACTTCTCTATACTAGTAGACAGGACTGCTAACTGTAAAAGTTACATATAATGCCTTCAATACATACTCAAAGCACTGAACTTCCTTATAGATTCTGATATATACACTTCTAAACAACCACTCACAAATAGCCTTTTAAGAATTTTTTTTAATATTTCAGAGACAAAGTCTTGCTATGTTGCCCCAACTGGTCTCAAATGCCTGGCCTCTTGAAGCAATCCTCCCACCCCAGCCTCATGAGTAGGTGGGACTATAGGCACACACACCATGCCCAGCTCACCACAAACAGCTGTTAAAAAACAGTACATTTAAAGTAGACTTCAGGGGCTGGGTGCGGTGGCTAACGCACCTTGGGAAGCAGGAGGCCTGCTTGAGGCCAGGAGTTCAAGACCAGCCTGAGCGAGACTCCGTCTCTACAAAAAAAATAGAAAGAATTAGCCACACGTGGTGACAAGGAACTGTAGAGTCCCAGCTACTTGGGAGGCTGAGGTAGGAGGATCACTTGAGCCCAGGAGTTTGAGGTTGCAGTAAACTACGATGATACCACTGTACTCTGGCCAGGGTGACAGAGTGAGTCTGTCTCTAACAAAATAAAACAAACAAACAAAAACAAAAAACAGTAGACTTAGACTTTAGGACTGAAGAATTTTTATTATGATTTTCAAATAATCTCCAAGACCATCTCTCAAGCAATGATACTTGTAAAGTCAAAAACCATACTGATCATCAACCTCGACCTACCCACAACTAATTCATCATTCAAGTTCTGCCAAGATTATATTCTCAATTTCTCAAATAGTCTGTGAATTTCTCATATAGTCTCTGTAGCAACTACTCAAGTCTGCCACCCTAGTGGGAAAGCAACTATATACATGTGTAAATGAATCTGTGTGGCAGTGTTCCAACATAAAACTTTATTTACAAAAACAGGCTGAGGGTAAGATTTCGTACGCAGACCATAATTTGGCAACCTCTGCAATAACGTACTGAACTGCTTCATATTTCTTGTATATATCACATACCAAGCTTTGATGGCTAATGGAATGTGTGCTGGTGTTGTATTCTTGTGTTATACAACTATTTCAGTTTTGACTTCCAATATGGTAAACAGCAACAGATATTATCTAAACACAAGCTCTTTAGGATCCTCAATAGTTTTTTGCAGTAATGTAATAGCTAAGAGAAAAGACAATTCTAGAAAGATAAAACGTTTGCTTTGTTGGATGCTAAAGACATTCTGCCTGATGTGTTGGTGAATGAAAAGTGAATGACACCAATTAAAAACTAAAGTAGTTTACTTATCAAAGCTACCCAAAGATACAGTCTTGCTTTTGGATCCAAACCTATACAGAACAATGCAGCAGAAGAGGTTGAAAGAAAAGTGGTCAATCTGTATTTAAGCAAACAATGAAGGACATTTACAATCAACTAAAAATTCACCTATTGAATTAGGGCTGACAGTTATTGTTGAAGAGTGCTGCAGTATGCCTGGTGGCTCCCTTTTCTGGATGAGGGCTTTCTCGGGGAGTATAGTATGTTAATATTTACCTATATAACTAATCTGTTAATGGCTTTTAAAAAACCTCTCTTTCAAATTATTTGAATAATCTTCCAATTTTCTTTTAAGCAGTATGACTAATCTTTTTCCTGAGGAAAGCACCTGCCTTTTGAGTTGTTTTTTTTTTTTAATTTAAGAAAAATTCTATTCTTTTAAAAGTATCTTTGAACTAAAACCTTTATACACCACAGTTGGTTTTGAAATGGAAAATAAAATCACTTTCTTGCTTGGTAAGCAAGAAATCATATGGATTTTTTTAAACTTACAGAAATGGAAATATGTGTAACTTGTTAATATTGTGTCAAACAAAAGCTGCATACAGGTAATAGGACATTGCTTTGAGATTTGTAATGTATTTTTATATTTTGAAAATGTATTACAGGTGTTTTTCTAGAGGCATGGAAGTTAAATGTATATATCATGGTAGAAATAATATTGAAGAATATTATAATTCAGTGCTGCCAGAATAACTGTTAATAAAGCACCTTCTTTAATAATAAATATCTTTTGTAGACTTAGGGGACTACATACTACTGTTAATACCTATAAGAACGAAACGTATTAAACATCCTTTCAGGAAGTCTTTGAGGGAGGACCTATACCCGTAATAGAATGATGGCATTTATTTTTGATAGTCATTGTAAAACCAATTATTTCCTTACTGTTGGAAGGTCATATTGTAAAGTATGTGGTTACATGCAGTCAAACAGCAGAAAATACTCTTAACTGAGGAGCTGTTTACTTTACTACAGTGATATAAAAAAGCAGTTTTTACACTAAAATTATTAAACAAATAGACAAGCATAGAGAATTAAACCTTTGGTTAGAAAATGGGAAAGGTTCCATGATCCACATAAATTATTTCTCATTTGCCTTAAAAAATTAAAAAATAATAAAAATGATGGGAAGCTTTATTCATTAACAATGGGGTAAAGAGCTATATACTTGAAATGAGTCTTATAAAATTAAATGAACTGCAAATAAAAGCACTGCTACTATAATACATTCTGGAATGGTTCTATTATCCATATGATCTGTAGCAAATGTAATTTATTTTTAAGAAGAAAAGAAAAGCAGTGTGTTTTCTTACTATCTTTTGTTTTCTTTTGCTTAAGCACTTCATTAACTGCTTAATTCTGTATCTTCGAAGTAATCTGCAATCTCCTTTCTTCTTTGTAAAATTTGATTTGTTATAAAATTGCCAAATATAAGGGTTTCAGATATACAGTTTGTACCTGTATTTTTATTTTATTGCCTCATGTTCTTGTAAGTCATTCTTAATTGACCGATGACTGTAGACCTTGCGTGAGTATTTTTTCTAATAAAACAAAGCGAATCACACACATAAAAAAAACAAATGTAAAATAATTCTAAGGTCAGAGAGTTTGAGAACTCATCTATTTCAACTTTTTTATTGTATAAAAAAGAAAAACTAAGGCACAGAGAGGATACCTTTCTTAGTCATGGGCACATGGTTGGCTATTGGCAGATATACAGTACTATGCATATATAAAATGCACACAGTAGTATACATTATTACATAATTATATTGTATTAATTATAGTTTGAGTTCCTCCTTCCTAGGCTTGTTTATTCTTTTTTTTACAGCATAAACATAGACCCAGAAGTTTAGAAGCAGAGAATGCTTCTAAACTTAGGCAACTGATGTAACCTCCATCCTATCCAAAAAGGTGAGATAACTGGCATTATTAAGGTGAGTTTTGCTTTTTCTGTTTTACAAGGCTGCATGGGTGGGCCAACTGTGTGTCAGTTGGTGTGTCTGGGGAATGTGAACTTATTTCATAAAAGTCTTAGCAGGGCCGGGCACAGTGGGTCATGGCTGTAATCCCAGCACTTTGAGAGGCCAAGGCCGGATTGCTTGAGGCCAGGAGTTTGAGACCAGCCTAAGCAACATATCGAGACCCCATCTCTACAAAAAATTTATAAAATTAGCCAGGCATGGTGGCCCACACCTATAGTCCCAGCTACTCGAGAGGCTGAGGCCAGAAGATTGCTTGAGCCCAGGAGTTGGAGACAGCAGTGAGCTATGATCGTGCCACTGCACTCTAGCCTGGGCAACAAAGCAAGACCCTGTCTCAAAAAAACAAAAAAGACAAACCTAACCAGAACTTACTAAGAAGACCAATCCCCTGAAAAATGAATTTTGAATGGTTAGCGTCACTGCTCCTCTCCATTCATGCTGATAATCTAAAGTTATCAAGGTATCCACTTCATGGAGAACTCACCCTCATCATCACTACTACTAGAATGGATTTCAGGAGATGAGTCAGATTGAGATGATGAAAATTCTTCTTTCCATTTCTTCCGTTTCTTTGGTGGTGGCTCAGCCTTTACTTTTACTTGTTTAACTTTGGGTTTCATGGAAGGGGCTTTTGTAGTTGTAGATTTTGATGTTGGAGTATCAGAAATTTTACTGCTACTACTTGACTTAGCTTGAACAGTTCTGCAATGTTACAAACAAACTTTATTAACACAGAAATCTTGCCAAACTGAAATCAATTAAGAAAAAAAGAGAAATCACAGGAGAGGAAAAGATTAGCTAATTACCCTCCCAAGATCTCCAAAATAAAATCCAAGTCCTATACATGTCAGTGGTGATTTCCATAAAATTTTCTTTAAATACATTTAACCACTCCATTCAATATTCAGTTATTAAGGGATTATTAATTTAATCCATGTCTCTCTTTTCATTCCTCTCCTTCCTTTATGGACTCATTTCCAGAGAGTATGATGCTGTACAACAGATGATCAATGGCCTTGGGGAAGTAATACCTGATAAACCTTTGACAGCCACATCTAGCGCTGACCCTCAGAAACTCATAGGGTCTGCTGGTGCCAGGTGTTGACACAGAAACCCAAATGCATCTGTCCTGGAGGGGCTTAATATCTGCTCTATGCTGGGTCTGGAGATTTGAGTGGATAAAATTTCATCATAAAAATAAAGTTAGCTGTTTCCAGTAGGTGGGAATCTTAATTAAATTAGACCGGCTTCGCACTAGATTGAGAATATCTAGGCTCATACATTCTCATACAAACCACAGGGTCACGTCAGTCGTCTTCCAGATTCATATTCCAGACAACCCAGATTCACATTAATATATGATGATTATCTAGTAATGTATAGGTCTCACAATTGTTTCTCAAAAATTATTTCAGGCCAGGTGAAGTGGTTTATGCCAGTAAATCTAGCACTTTTGGAGGCTGAAGTGGGACGACTGCTTGAGGCCAGGGGTTTGAGGCCAGCCTAAGCAAGAGTGAGACTCCATCTCTACCAAAAATAGCAAAGTAAGCTGGGCATGGTGGCATGTGCCTGCAGTCCCAGCTACTCGGGAGGCTGAGGCAGAAGGATCACTTAAGCCCAGGAATCTGAGGTTGCAGTGAGCTATGGTGATGCCACTGCACTCTAGCTGAGGCAACAGAGGATGACCTTGTCTCAAAAATAAATAAATAAATAAATAAATTTTAAAATCTCATTTTAAATTTGACACTCTATTACTATTTTCACTTTATGGATGAAAAGGGGGAGTTTCTGAAAAGTTGTCTTCTCCAGGTCACAAAGAGCTGGACTGGACTCAAACTTTTTGATTCTAAAGTCAATTTTTTTTTCACTATACTAGGGTGACACCAAAAGGATTCAGGGAAAGAAAAGGGCACCCAACCTACCACAGACAGCTATGAGCTTTACAGTGTCCCTTTCATTTCTTCAAAGCAATCACTTATTTCATCAGACTAGTATATAATGAAAAAAAAATCAGTTTCTTTGATCGTTGCACTCCTTTGTAACAATGATAGCGTCAATAATAAGCCTATATATGTATATATACAAATACATACACACACATACAAACAAACATATTACATAAGAAAACAAATACCTGATAGTTTGTGAAGGCTTATTTCTTGGCTTTTTAGAACACACTCTGACATACTCCTTTTTGTTTGCATTTTCAATGAACTTCACATATATCCTTTTGTATTTACTCTTTGCATCTCCAAAATAACCAAGGTACTAAGAAAAAAAACACTATGAATTACATAACTGTAATCTGTACATAAAACTTATTTGTTGGTTTTATTGACTATCACATACCATCCTTGACGTTTTCCAAATGCACCTTTGGACAGGCTAATTTCACCCTCTATAAAAACGATCCCAGGCTCATTCTTGACTACAAGCCCATATATAGAAAAGCAATCTCATTTGGCAGACGCTTACTTATGCAAATCTATTGAACAGCTACTTAAGTACAAAAGAATAACTTCTGCCAGTCTTCTGGCAAATCAGGATATTTGACTGATAGAATAATCAATGTTAAGAGCCTGAGTCCAGCTGAATGCTTTATAGACTAACACTAATTCCTTTCCTTTATAAAACAAAAAAGTTAAGCAACAGTATAATGTCATTTAATTTTAAATACCTGGTATTTACCCATTGGTTTTATTTTTAAATCAGAGAATCAGAGTATCATGTAGTTCAAAATTTATGCTATTTTAATTTTGTCTTTTTTCACTATATGAATATACATATGCAAGTGAGTATGCTATTTTATCAGAAATATTCAATATAAAATACATCTATATTTAAGTTATTCTATATTTTCCCCAAGATCACTGCCAAAATATAGGAAGGCTAATGTGAACACACATTTTACTTACACTATTTGTAGCTGCAAATTCTCTTTGCCCATCTCGAATTTCAGGAACAAATTTCTGTAATAAAGCTTTTTGTACTTTCCAAATAGCTGGAGGTTCTTTTCCTGTTTTTAATGCCTCCTGTATTAAGCAGAATTGATTATACTTATAAAAAGTAGCAACATATTTTAGATTTATAGAATGTTAGAGCTGAAAGGAATCTTAAAGACTTACCTAGCCCAACCTTTTATTTCTTACCTCTAGCTGAATTTATGTAATAAATTTATGCATAAATAAATTTATGCAACAAATTACAAGCTGCTTTGGTTATTCAGTTTCTGCTTAAATTCTCCCAGAAATAGGGAGTTCACTAACATACAAAGTTAACCCCATTACCCTTTTGTATAGCAAAAGCTATCGGAAGGTTTTCTGCTAATGACATTGTCATGTATTATTTATGCAATTTTATAAACCGATGTGTATTTTTAAAAAGAACAGAAACAAATATGCTAAAATATCAACAGTAGTTAATTGTGAATGAAAGAAATACAGATGATTTGAATGCTATGTTTTTCATTATACTTTTTAATGCCATTTCTGTCCACCTCCATCTTTTAAAAAAAGGCAAAAGCAAAAGCAAGCAAACAAAAACCTGAAAATATGTTATCTCAAACATAGCTATAATAATCTTTTTTTTTTTTTTTTTTGAGACAGAGTCTCACTCGTTTCCCAGGCTAGAGTGCCATGGTGTCAGCCTAGGTCACAGCAACCTCAAACTCCTGGGCTCAAGCGAACCTCCTGCCTCAGCCTCCCAAGTGCCACCATGCCCAGCTAATTTTTTCTATATATATATTTTTTTAGTTGTCCAGATAATTTCTTTCTTTAGTAGAGACGGGGTCTCGCTTTTGCTCAGGCTGGTCTCGAACTCCTGACCTTGAGCAATCCACCCGCCTCGGCCTCCCAGAGTGCCAGGATTACAGGCGTGAGCCACCGCTCCCAGCCAGCTATAATATTCTTATATAAAATTGTAACATTCTATTCATGGTTCTACAACTTGAAATTATGAAATTAAGTCTAATTCCACTTTTACATGATAGTCCTGTTATTTTTCTTTTTCTTTTTTTGACAGAGTCTTGCTCTGTGGCCTGGGCTAGAGTTCAGTGGCATTACCATAGCTCACTGCAACTTCAAACTCCTAGGCTCAAGCGATCTTCCTGCCTCAGCCTCCCAAGTAGGTGGGACTACAGGTGCACACAGCAACATCCAGGTAATTTTTCTATTTTTATTAGAGACAGGGTGTCGCTCTAGCTCAGGCTGGTCTTGAACTACTGATCTCAAGCAATCCTCCCGCCTGGGCCTCCAAGAGTGCTAGGATTATAGGCGTGAGCCACCACGCCCAGACAGTCCTGTTATTTTTCTTTAACCTTTTAAATTATTAACATATAAATATGATTTTCTCCAAACTACTATAAAATAATGAGTTGGGAGCCTTGGAAAAAATTAACATTTCAAAACTGCTATAATTACTAGCACTGAAATGTAACTGACTAGTCAGAAATATCTTAATATATGAAACTAAGTTAGTTATAATTATTTTCAATGATTTTCTTTTTCAAAATATTTGACATATACTAGTTTGATTTTATCAAACACTTATATAACTTAAGATAATTATAAAAATATAACTTTTTGTTATTCAAGATAGACGCATGCTACCGAAATCATTATGAAGGCTATCATAGGCACTCCAAATAAAATATGACCGTTACACCAGTAAAAATTCACATCACCTTAAAAGTCTCTATGTCTTCTATCTTTACCACAAATTCATCACGTTCTCTGTATTGGCCTTCTCCTCCACTTTCTGTGTTCTCCTCATCTGTATGACCTTCTATGGCAACAGTGTCTTGTCCTTTTGCAAATTGGTCTGAAGGAAGACCATCAAGTTCGGTGGGCTTTGAGGGTTCTGTAGAGTTTATATTTTCCAGGATATTTATTGCAGATGAAGTACAGTGGTGAGTTTCTTGCTTAACTGCACCCACAGTGGTGGAGGAAGTAGTAGCAGTACCAGTAGCATTTGCAGTTGGGCTAGTAGTTGCCACTTGTAGGGCTTCTGAAATTAAATCAAACAAATGCGAATTAGTATTACAAATATTTAAACATTCACATGTTTTGTGTAAAATCTGAACAGTTTAAAAAGAAAGACTTGATTATTTTTGCAATCAAACTGGCTGAAACAAAACCATAGGAAGTTAAAAAATGGTTGTTAATTTCCAAGAATCAAAGACGTGAGAATTGAATCTGGATGACAAGCAGATTGCAAACCTACATCTATCTACCTACATTTTCCTCAATTCCACTGAAGTAGAGCAAAGATATTTTTAGAAGAATAGAGATGTGAAAGTGATCAAAGATAAGGAAGGCTCAGCCAACCAAAGCTGTGAAAATTCCTACAAGATAAAAATCCAATTGTATATGGGAAAGGAGAACACCCCCAAAATACTTTGAAACAGCACTAGAAGCTACTGAAATAAAAAGGGTTATACAGAATACTATGAAAAACTGTATGCCAACAAATAACATAGATGAAATTCCTAGAAAGGGCTCAAGAAGAAATGAAAAATTACAGATATATATACACATAGATTAATGAAGCAGAATGAAAGTTCAGAAATAAACTCTATATTTATGACCAAATAATTTTCAAAAAAGGTGCCAAAACCATTCAATAGGGAAAGAATGGTCTCTTCAGCAAATGGTGCTAGGACAACCAGATAGCTGCATACAAAGGAATGAAATTGGCCCTCTGCCTCATACCTTATACAAAAATTAACCAAAAATGCATTATAGATCTAAATGTAAAAGCTGAAACTATAATACTCTTAGAGTATGGCTTTAGATAAGCCACCAAAAGCATAGGTGGCAAAAGAAAAATGTAAAATGTAAAAATTTTATGCTGCATCTGATGCCATCAACTCAGTGAAAAGATAACCCATAGAATGGGAAATTATGTTTAAAAATCATATATTTACCTGAGACTTATATCCAGAATATATTTAAAAATTCTTACATCTCAATAATAAAATAACCCAATTTCAAAAATGGGTAAAGGACCTGAATAGACATTTGTCCAAAGATGATATAAAAAATGATCAAAAAGCACATAAAGGCTGCTGAACATCATTAGTCGTTAGATAAATGCAAATCAAAATGAGACACAACTTTACACCAAGATGGCTATAATTAAACACACAAACAGGGGCCAGGCGCCATGGCTCAAGCCTGTAATCCTAGCACTCTGGGAGGCCGAGGCGGGTGGATCGCTCAAAGTCAGGAGTTCGAGACCAGCCTGAGCAAGAGTGAGACCCCGTCTCTACTAAAAATAGAAAGAAATTAGCTGGACAACTGAAAATATATAGAAAAGATTAGCCGGGCATGGTGGTGCATGCCTGTAGTCCCAGCTACTCGGGAGGCTGAGGCAGTAGGATTGCTTGAGCCCAGGAGTTTGAGGTTGCTGTAAGCTAGGCTAACGCCATGGCACTCTAGCCTGGGCAACAGAGCCAGACTTTGTCTCAAAAAAAAAAAAAACCACACATACACACACACACACACACACACACATAGATAGTAATAAGTGTTAGCAAGAATGTGGAGTAAATGCAACCCTAATACATTGCACATGGCTAATGTAAAATGGTACAGTGACATTGGAAAACAGTTTGGCTATTCCTCTATTAAGCATGGAGATATCATATGACTGTGGAATTCCACTTCTAGATGTGTACCCTAGAGGAAACATCCACATAAAAACTTGTACATGAATGTTCACAGCAGAAGTATTCATAATAGCCAAAAAGTGGAAAAAACATAAATGTCCCTCAACAGATGGATGGATATACAAAGTAAGGTATATCCCCACTGTTAGGGAATAAAAAGGAATTTGGTACTGATACATGCTACAAGATGGACAAACCCTGAAAACATGCTAAACGAAAGAAGCCAGTCACCAAAGGTCACATATTATAGGACTCCTTTTACATGAAACATCCAAAATAGGCAAATATACACAGAAAAAAAGTAGGTTAGTGGTTGCCTACAGCTGGGTGTGAGTGTGGGGACTGACTGCTAATGGGTACAGGGATTCTTTCTAAATGATGAAAATATTCTAAAATTAGACCACGGTGATGGCTGCACAACTCTATGAAACCACTGAGTTGTACACTTTAAATGGATAGATGTCATGGTATATGAATTACAATTCAATAAAGCTTTTAAAAGCAAACACTTTGAAGACTAGAAAAATGCCACCACTAGAGAATCATTGACCAGTATGCTTGTAAGTGCTGATCTTCCACCTCACTGTTATTACCATTACTGGGAGAGGTTTTAAAAACTACAAATATGTGACCAACCATGAGATTACAAAAGACAATTTTTCACTGTGATCAATTCTCCTATATTTTTAATTATATAAATTTA